TAACAATAGCAACAACAAAAAGCAGACACATCATTACTCTCATGAATCTGGCAGAGCTATATGAAAGTGGTTCCTGTCCTCTGAGCATTGTCCCTAGTTCCCCTTGCATCCATGCTATTTGTCTAACTCAGCGGTTCTCTAAATTTAGGTTCTCAACCTGTGGGTCGCAACCCCTTTGGGGACTAAACGACCCTTTCACAGAGGTCACCTAAAACATAACAGTAGCAAAATTACAGTTATGAAGTAGCAACAAAAATAATTTTATGGTTAGAGGTCACCACAACATAAGGAACTGTATTAAAGGGTTGCGGCATTAGGAAGGTTGAGAACTCAAAGAGGAGAGCAGTGGTGATGGAATGAAAAGAACACATCCATTTTTCACATGCTGTCACTCACTATCACTGACTCTCCTGCCAATACAATCTAAAGCTTATTGCCTAACCCTTATCCTACTATGTTTTGCTGGGCTTTTTCTTTTGGTAGGAAAGGAACTATTTGTTTGTTTCCTGTTTCCTAAATATAATCTAGAATGATCTACATGAAATGTATTGAAAAATAGTTCTATGTTCTATTGATGACTGTGTTTACACTCTTTATACTCTGACGGTACAGAAATATCTAATATAATAAATCTGGAAGTTATTATACAGGTAGAGCAAAACTGGAAAGATAAGTCACATATAATGGAATAAGATCAATACCCTTCTGAGTGCAGTATTCTGATTTGAACAGTTAACTTTCACACACTTGAAGAATTATAAATTCTCTTGCTTTTAGACCAATTTCAGTTTCTATTTTTAGCAGTGGTTATGCTACTTAGTATCAAAGGAATAAAAAATTTCAACTAAAAGCAAATTCTTCAGCTATTTAGTTTCATTTCTAAATACAAAATAGTACTATTTCCTAAATATTGCAGTTCTTAATTCTTCAAATAGAAAAAATTCAAGTTGTAGTGATGAGTGAGTTTTAAGAAAATCAATTAATCAGTTTACTGATTATCTACTTGAATACCTTTTAAACATCTCATGAATAAAGGTTATAACCATTATCCTCTGGATGTAAACCACAATTTGATTAACAGCAACTGGAATGTTAAAGCATGGGGTAAGGGAGGTGGAGAGTCAGAGATGTATTCCCATTTAAATTGACAAATCTAAGATCAGTGATTACAGAATTACTAGTATAACAGCATATTTATAAGAAATATTATGAGTTCTTAAGATATTAATTTTATAGTTTTTATATTTTAATGGAAATTTAGGTAAATTTTATGAGACTCAATTATAAAGTGTGATTTTTACTAATGATTTCTTTACGGGGAGGGTGTTCACAAAGTTCATACTTGAAAAAAAAACTTTATTTTTCACATCTCTTGTGAAGTAGGTGCCAGAGAAATTACCTTTCTATTTATAGGCTTTGGAACTACAGTAATTTGTGGTATATGTCTTAGGAAAAAAGAAGATTTATTCAGCAGGCACTGGACTTAGTGCTTTACATGTATTTATTTCTAAAAATTAGAACAACTTTGCAAGTATCACCGAGTTTAACTTTCCCAATGTCACATAGCTATTAAATAATTAAATAAGGACTTGAAAACAGAGCAACAAAATCTAAAACCAATTTTCTTTCAATTTAACCATGTTAGTTCAATTTGAAAAAGTTAATGTTGGTTTCCTTAATCCTTAATTTCTCCGTTTTTATTTTATCCTGAAAACACCTGTTTCCTTACCTGAATCTCCCATTTGACTACAAATTCTATGGGAGCTGGTGTTGTGTTTGAATAACCATAATATCCCAGGATCCAGCCCAAACACACAGCATGTGTTATATAAACATATATTAAATAAATGAACAAACCCTTAGCAAAACAGAACAACTGCTTAAGGAGAAAGGAATGATGTGAAAGCCTCTGAATCTCAGAATAAAAATCTATAAAAACAGAGGGACTCTGATACAACTAATGGAACCACCATCAGGGTTACCATAAAGAGTATGGGTACTGTAAAGAGTCCCCAGTTTATTGTACTTTCCTACCCTAAATGACACAAAGTTCCATGCAAAGCTGTACTCACTGCTTCAAACAAGGTTCTTTCATTCTCCAGCAGCTAGTGATAGTTGTGTCTTACTCAACACCCCTGCCCTCAAGATTCTTAACAACCTCCTGAAGAACAATTACAACACAAAAAATTCTTGACATAGCACTACTGACTCTCATACAGAACAGTATCATAGAAAAGAATGAGAAATGAGATAAAATAAGAAACTCAAAAAGATAAAGAAAAATGTAAAATTAAATGAGTCCATTTCTTTTAGCAACATTATGTATTTTATTATTGTAAAATTCGTAATTCTACAATAGCACTGCCTCATCTTGACAAAGATATAAACCACTTCTACTTACTTCCCTCCATAAGTTCTACCCCTCAAAAATGTGTGGAGCCACATGTTATATAGTCCCTTAGAGATAAACTAGTCTACCTTGACCCCAACAGTTAGGATTAGGTTCTGCTATGAGAAAATGCCCTAAAATCAGTGGCTTCTCTAGCATAAAAGAAGTCTAGAAGTAGGTAGGTGGTGATAGTGACTCAGGTTTAGTGGCCTAGTTAGGAGGAACTTGTGACTTCAGTCTTAAGGCTTTCCCTATACTCCAAGGAGTTGCACATACAGTTTTTAAAGAATGTTTTTATAAAGTTAGTGAAAGCTATGCCATTTTGAAATATTACTAGATGTTTTGAGATTTTATAAAAAATATTTTTTAAAATTGATTTTTTAGAGAGAGGGGAAGGGAGAAGAAAGAAAGATCGATGTGAGAGTGGAACATCAATCAGTTGCCTCCTACACGTCCCCTACCAGGGACTGAGCCAGCAACCCGGGCACGTGCCTTGACTGGGAATCAAACTGGTAACCTCCTGGTGGACAGGATAATGTCCAACCAATTGGGCTGCACCAGCCAGGGCAGATTTGAGATTCATAAAGGATTTAGGATAATAGCTATTTCTAGGTAACATGTGGATGCAAAGAAAGATAACATGGATACTTTTTGAATGTTCCCTCTGATTGTCATGTCAAAGTAAATTAAGGCAACAAATCCAGTAGGAATAAAGATTATATCTGGGAGAATAAGCCTATATACACAGGTTTCAAAAATTTTTTGAGTTTGAATTTTCCAATTTAACTGATATTGCCTAATTCATAAACTACAACAAAGTTGTTTCAAGAAAGCTCCATGGAAACTTGTCACAGAATAACTGCTAGTTTTTTGTTTTGTTTTTAAATCCTCACCCAAAGATATTTTTCTATTTATCTTCAGATAGAGTGGGAGGGAGGGAGAGGGACATATCAACTGGTTGCCTCCCGCACAACCCCGACCAGGGCCAGGGATGAACCGCAACTGAGGTAGATGCCCTTGACCAGAATCGAACCCGAGATTCATTGGTCCAAGGGCCAATACACTAATCACTGAGCCAAACCAGCCAGGGCATAACTGCTAATTTTTAAAAATATGGTGGCAAAACTTTGTGGAGTTGGCTACTTTCCAATTTTAAGTAGGAATTCTATAACTAAGGCAGATGACTTGGTAACAGCCAGTACTTGGGTGCTCTGAATCTAATCTTTCACAGAACTTAGAAATGCACTAAACATTAAGTCCTCTGTATTCCAAGATTTCTTATGTCATTTCCCCACATTTTCTTCTTTATTTTAAGTGCCTAGATTAGATCTCTTAATTAAATTGTGCATTGAAAATCTTATTTATATCAAAATTACCTTTATTTGTGTAGCTCCATGTTAAATAAATAGAAAGACTAACACATACCATTATTCTAATTCCAGAGTCTGTAAACTCTATCTGAATAAAAAAAAAAATTTAGAGTGGGAGGGAGAGAGAGAGGGGGAGAGAGAGAGAGAGAGAGAGAGAGAGAGAGAGAGAGAGAGAGAAACATTGACGTGAAAGGGACACATCGAGTGGTTGCCACCCACACGACCAACCGGGGCCGGGGACAAACTGCAACTGAGGTACGGGCCCTTAGCGGGAACCGAACCCGGATCTCTCTGGACCGCAGGCTGACGCTCTAACCACTGAGCCAAACCGGCCAGGGCTGTAAAATTTTTGTGTAAAGTGACAGATAGCAAATATTTTAGGCTTCATGGGCCATACTATCTCTGATACAACTATTTAACTCAGCTGCTGTAGCCTGAAAGCAGCCATAGACAATACTTAAGTGAATGGGCATGACTGTGTTACAATAAAATTTCATTTACAAAAACAGGCAATGGGAAGGCTTTGGTCCATGGTTAGTAGTTTGCTAATTCCTACTCTGACTGACTAGACTTCTTCATCATCTATAATGGAAAAGATTATTTTCTTCTTTTTTTAGAAACCACTGTCAAAATCATGCTGGCCTAAGAGTATCTTAAGAGATTGAATAAGAAATGCTTATTTTGCAACTTGCAAACCCCACTTCCAAAATATCAAACTCAATCTACACAAAATTTTAAATAAAATTCTACAGAGCTATCAAACAAAAAATCTTGGTATGTGAATAAAAAATTTATATTTATAGAATTTTTCAGATTTTCTTCTTAGAATGTCTTTTCTAAAAATTTTATATCACTATCATTAACTCAATCTGCTTCCTTCTAGTCTTTCTTTGCTTCTTTCTAAATTTTCACTCCATCTTTCTTTCCCCAACCACAGAACTACAAAATGAACCAAACTCCTCATAGTCACAATTAGAAGGATTATATCACCTATTCTCATGTGTATACACACACACACACACACACACACACACACACACACACACATATTTTCCCCCTGTGGGAAAATCTGAATTCTTTATTTGGGTTGATCCTATTCAATAAGCAAACGTTAATTTTAATTACTTGTATAAGAAATAAGAAAATAAACCTTTTACCAAAAAAACCCTCAAAACGAACAAAAAATTTAAATGATTAGCTCAATATAAATTATTTTTGTACCAGTCATTGTATGGATTAGCTATAGTATAGCTCATTTCAAATTTCTGTGTCATCCTTGTACAGGGGCTATGCTAATCTTCTCTGTATTGTTCCAATTTTAATATATGTGTTGCTGAAGTGAGCACTATTTTTAAATACTTTTTGTTAATCCTCACCTAATATTTTTCCCACTGATTTTACAGACAGTGGAAGGAGGAAAGGTGGGAGGGAGGAGAGAAACACATCAATTGGTTGCCTCCCATATGCACCCCGGGGGCCACAGATTGAACCCACAACCCTTCGGTGAACGGGCTGACACTCTAGCCAGGGCACCTATTCTCAGTTTTGTTTTATTTTATTTTCTTAATCTTCACCCAAGGATATTTTTCTATTTATCTTCAGATAGAGATGGGGAGAAAGGACAGAGAGAGAAACACTGATGTGAGAGAGACACATTGACTGGTTGCCTCCCACACAACCCAACCAGGGCCGGGGACGAATTGGAACTGAGATACATGCCCTTGGTTGGAATCAAACCCACAACTCATTGGTCTTGGGCTGATGCTCTAACCGCTGAGCCAAACAGGCCAGGGCTCTCTCTCTTTTTTTTTATCCTCACCCGAGGACATTTTTGCATTTATCTTCAGATAGAGTGGGAGGGTGAGAGGGAGGAAGAGAGAGAAAGGAACATCAATGTGAGAGAAACACATCGACTGGTTGCCACCCACATGACCCCAACTGGGGCCAGGGACAAACTGCAACCAAGGTACATGCCCTTAGCAGGAACCAAACCCGGGACTCTCTGGTCCATGGGCTGATGCTCTAACTGCTGAGCAAAACGGGCCAGGGCGGGGCTCTCATTTTTAGGAGTCTTGAGAATGTACTAAAAGTTTTAGCCATAGAAATTACATTTTTAGAATTTATCCTAAGCACAAAATTAAAAATATACATGAAGATTTAAATACTAAGATGCTCAGATAGTATTACTAACAATAGTGAGAAAATATTGAAGACAAAATAAATTTCCAAAAATATCTATGATATGAATATACCATAATTATTTAATCTTCTATTTTTGGAAATTTAGTACTGCTTTCTGCCTGTTTTTGTAAATAAAGTTTTATTGTCATACACCACGCCCATTTAGAATGGTCTGAGGCTGCTTCTGCTACAGGCTTTACTTAGAATTGAGTAGTTGCAACAGACACATTATAGCCCTGAAAGCCTAAAATATATATTACGTGACCCTTTACAGAGAACATTTGCTAACCTCATCAACAGGTGGTGTTGAAATATATTTTCTAGTATGAAGCAATGTTTACACTATATTTATTTCAGGACACATTCAGGTTTATTTCAATTATAAAAGTATATATAAACAAACTAGATAATGGGTGATTTTTTCTTTTTGCCTATAATAAAGACAGGCAAATAGGCAATCACAGCATGGTAATTCTAGATTCAGAAGTATCTAACTAAAATCGTTGAGAATACAGAAAGGCTTCCCAGAGGTGGCAACAACAACAAAAGAAATGAGAAGGACTGTTGAGGTGTATGCAAAACCTGCATGGCATGGACTGGGTACAGGAAAAATGTACTTAAGATGGAGTAAGGTATGCAATGAAGAGAAAGGCAAAGTAAGTGTGTGTGTTTGTGTGCATGCGCGTATGCATGAAGACTGTGATCTATATTAATTTGCATTTTATGATGTTCTTGTGGACACATTGTGGAGAAGCTGGGAAGAGAACTGTAACAGGAGGCTCTGTTTAGGAGGCTGCTAGACTAATTCAGGTGGGAGATATAAGCAGAGACCAAGAAAATATCGACAAGGATTTGGGCCAATGAATCCAGAGGTAACTGACCGGATACTGGGGGTAGTGGTAAGGGAGAAAGAAATCAAAGATGACTCAACTTTTTGGTTTAGGCAACTGGAAGAATGGAAACATCATTCAAAGAAAACTGAGAAAGAAGATAGGTAGATTTCTGTTTTAAACTTGAGAAATTTTATATCTTCAGAATTTCTAAATAAAGATTTACATTAAGTACAATTAGATACACATATGTAGAGCTTACGAGAGAGATCTAGGCTAGAAAAGAAAGATTTGAAAGTATGAGTAACAATGGGGTAATCAAGAAGAATGGACAAGAGAAGGGTCCTAAGCCAGAAACTTAAAAAATACTAATACCTAAGGGAGAAAGAGAGGATTTTAATTTATGTGGGATGTGAGAGAATGAGCCCCTGAGAAGGCTGCCAGGAAAGAAAGGGAGGTAACAGTCAGTGAATAACTGAGAATTTTAGTATGTTAGCCATGAAACCAGAGTTCCAAGGATCCAATAGAAATGTATAAGAGAAAAGCAAGAAATAAGAGCCTGGATCAAAGAGTGGAAAGCAGGATGCAGATAAAAGTACATAGGACTGTGAAGAGGCACTTCGAGAATGACAGGGGAAGAACCTTTGTAAACCCCCTCCTCAAAAAGCAACAAGAACACTTGCAAATACTGTCAAAATTAACTTTTTTTCCAGCACTGTAGGAATTAACTAAAGGCTTGTGACTAAGTAGTGTTTTTTTAAACTAGGATTAGTACTTTTTATAATTTTTTTTTTTTTTAGAGAGAGAGGAAAGGAGAAAGAAACATCAACTTGCTGTTCCACCCATTCATGCATTCAGTGGTTGATTCTTGCAATGCGCCCTGACTGGGGATTGAACCTGCAACCTTGGAGCATCAGGATGACACTCCAATCTACTGAGCCACTCAGCCAGGGTTAAGTGGTGCTTATTAAAAAAAAAAAAAAACAGTTGACCCTTAGCAATAACAGCAAACTTTGTGGTGTTTTAACTTGCCCTAATCCAATCCCCCTGCTCCTGGGTAGCCTTGAAAACCAAACCCTTGTAACTACAGTCGCTATGAAAACCAATAGCTAAAGAGGTACTAAGGAGTCTAGAATAGATTTGGAGTTCTCCAAAGCCCCATTCTCAAAAACAAACAAACAAACAAAAACTCACTATTTGATTTGCCTGGCAGCTTACTGAATAGCTCCATTCTCAGGGATTGTTTTTATTTGATCAGATTCAGAGCTCACTCTACGTGCAGAGTCCTATCCACAGCATTTTTGTTGAAAACAATCAGCAGCAATTGTTTAACATCACAGTTATCTAAGGGAATTGTACCAGTTGCAGCTAACAAGGGGCTGAACAAAAAACTTAAATGGCCTGGCTGGTGTGGCTCAGTGGTTGAGCAACGATCCATGCACCAAGAGGTCACTGGTTCGATTCCCACTCAGGGCACATGCCCAGGTTGTGGGCCAATCCCCAATGGAGGGCATGCGGGAGGCGGCCAGTCAATGTTCTCTCTCATCGATGTTTCTATCACTCTTTCTCTCTCCCTTCCTCTCTCTCTCAAATCAATAAAAACAAAACAAAACAAACAAAAAAAACCCAACTTACATGGGAAAACTGAGGAATGAAATGTCCATGAAGTGCTATGAAAAGCCCTAACATGGTCTTGGGAATTTAGATGCCATGCATGTAGAACTGTATGCATGCTGAGAAATTCATCTTTCATCTCTGGCTAACCTTGAGACTCAGCTCCAACACACAAAGACAGAGCCCCTCAGCAAAAGTTGGAAAGAGACCCACTGGTTCAAGACATTTAAAGACATCTTTGACCACTAAGCTAGCTGGACAGAGACTTCAAAGGACACAAACTGTACAGAATTAGCCCACGAAAGTCAAGAAACAGCAATACTAACAACAGAGCAAAAACAAATCCTGGGGGGGTGGGGGGAGAAAGAGAAATATGATTTCCTTAACTGTCACATTATTTAAAATATCTAGTGTTCGACAACAACAAAATCTAAAACATACAAAGAAACAGGAAAGTATGATCCATACATAGTAAAAAAAGTAGTCAATAGAAATTGTCCCTGAAGAAGTCCTGACATATACCTTACTAGACAAAGGCTTTAAGTAAGTATTATAAATATTTCAAACAACTAAAGGAAATTATGTCTGAAGAATTCAAGGAAAGTTTGAGAACCATATCTTCCCTAATAGGGAATATAAATAAAGAGATAAAATTTTATTTTAAAAAATCAAATAGAAATTTTAGAGTTGAAAAGCACAGTAACTAAAATGAAAAAATTTTTAGAGGGGGTCAATAACACATTTGAACTGGCAGAAGAAGAAAAAAAAAACTAAACTTGAGGACAGGTGAATGGAAATTCTCCAATTGAAGGAATAAGAATAAAGAAGAATTAACAGTCCAGCCGGTATGGCTCAGTGGTTGAGCATCAACCCATGAACCAAGAGGTCACTGGTTCGATTCCCAGTCAGGACACATGCCCAGATTGTGGGCCTGATCCCCAGTGGGGGGCATGCAGGAGGCAGCCAATCGATGTCCTCTCTCATTAATGTTTTTATCTCTCTCCCCCTCATCCTTCCTCTCTCTCTAAAAATCAATAAAAATATATATATATATTTTTTAAAAAGTATTAACAGAGCTCCAGAGATCTGTGGGACTCCATTAAGCATACCAACATAACATAATGTGAATCTCAGAAGGAGAGGAGAGAGGAAAAGTGGAAAGAATATTTTAAAAAATGATGGCCGGCCCTGGTCGGTTTGGCTCAGCAGTTAGAGCGTTGGCCTGTGGTCCAGAGAGACCCGCGTTTGGTTCCCACTAAGGGCACATACCTTGGTTGCAGTCTGTCCCCGGCCCTGGTTGGGTAGTGCGTGCAGGAGGCAGCCACTCAATGTGTCCCTTTCACGTCAATGTTTCTCCCTCTCTCTCTTCCTCTCTCTCCCTCCCGCTCTATCTGAACAAAAAATGAAAATAATAATAATGGCTCAAAACTGCCCAAATTTGATGGAAAACATTAATATGCACATGTAAGAAACTAAAAAAACTCTAAGTTGATAAAACTTAAGAGAACCACACTAGACAAACTATCAAGAAAACAAAGGAAAAGCAGCAAAAGCAATTCATTATTAACAGTTTCCTCAATAAGATAGATAGCTGACTTCTCATTAGAAACCATGGAGGCCTGAAAACAGTGGGATGATATAGTTAGAGTGATAGATGAGAAACACTGTCATCCAAGAATTCTATATCTAGCAAATCCACCCTTCAAAAACAAAGGAAAGCT